ACATGTTCTTTACTTAAGACGTTTCTCTTCCATATTTCAGGTGCCTAGGCACAACTCAGGAAGATGTTTCATCATGACATTTTCATGCTAAACAGACTACTATTCTGCCCACACCCTTCTGAACGCTGCCTTCTGAACTGACCTTGGTTGCTGCTTCTCTGCAACTCTTCTCTTGCTTATTTCAATTGGTGGGATGAGAAGCTGAGCTCTTGCAAAGTGGTTTGCTTTGTGCCTGACTTATCAGCCTGGTAAAGTGTGAAACGAAAATGTGTATCAGAGGAGGGAAGAATGCAGAAAAAGCAAGGGCAGTGCTATGGGGCAAGAACTCTCTTCTGAAACCTCTCATACATTTCTACCCAGACTGTGAACCTAGCAAATAATGACAATTGCACAGAGCAAACATATGAACAAAAGAGCAAACACATGTCAATATATTTGGAGAAATGCAGAACAGTGGGTAGAACAGCCTTTGCCAGACTTGTAGTCTCCAGATATTTTGGCATCAAATCCACAGCCACCATCTCTCACCCAAACCTACTTCAGAAGGCTGCTGCTCTAAAGGATATGATGGAAGAAAAGATATATGGTGTCCTGAGTTCTTTGCAGGAAAGGCAGAATCAAAATGCATTACACTTACAGATAGATTTATTTTATTTAAGGCTGCTTTAATTTTGAATGCCATAAGAGGTCAGGGTTTTCGTTCCTCTGGTAGGCTTTCTCCTCCTTTCTTCAAAATCACTGCAGCTCTTCCTGGTCACATTCAAAGATCCTTCAGTCTGGTTATGTTTCTACGGAAGCCCTGCTGTGTTCAACGGGGCTTGCTTGCTAGTAAACACTCTTTAGGCTTTCTGCCTGAGTCTGCCCTCCCTGATGTAATGCTTAGCCACCACAACTGGTTCTCTGAACCTCTGCCTCATTGTTCTCGCTTTCATTATAACCCTGTAAAACCGTCCTGGCCTCGTTTAACCTTGATTTCCTTCTCCACCCCCCACTCACATCCTTTTGGCTGGCCCAGCCTCTCATTCCTCACAGCCCAAGCAGCTCTTCAGCAATAAAAGGGGCTCTTCCAGGGTTTAATGCTCCTTGTTAAAATTCCACTCCCTCCTCCTCATTAGAAATGCTTTTGGATAACATTTATGCCTCCTTGAGTTGCAATGTTATGACTCCATCTCTTCCAACTTAACCAAATGTTAAGTTAGGCTGGCTTTTTAAGCTGGAGCAAAGATTTTGGACTTGGCATCCTCCTTGCCTAGAGAATGTCTCCCCTGGCAAGAGTCAGAACTTGGGCTCTGACGATGATTTTGACATTAAAATGCAAAGCTGGTTTGTACAGCTACCGACATGCCTTTTTCTGAAGAAGATCCCTCAATTTTCTTTCCATGGAGGATGCAACGAGCTGCTTCCATAAAGGGTGTGCTGGAAATGCAAGATGTTGTACAGTATGTGATTATCAGTTTCCAACAATAGCTGGGCACATGCTCAAAGAGTGGAAGAAAATATCAGAAGTTAATACAGAATTGCTATTTATTACCCTATAATTAAAGCGCTGACAGTTTTCCTATTATAAAACCTTATTTGCAAAGGTTCATAACTCAAAGAGGCAAAAAATTTCATTTCAAGATAATGTCCGGATTACCATGTTAAAGCATTTAAAATATTTTAGTAAAACGAATTCCATCTATCACAGGCTTGCTGTTTACTAGCTCTTGTTTTGCAATAATGTATTCCCTTTCTGTTTCATTCTGTTTTAAATTAAGGTGCGGTTCAAAACTGCAACATTTAAAGAAACATGTTAAGTGCCTAAAAACTGAAAGATTGCACAATGGGACAAACTTTTTTTCTGGTGCGGGGGGTGGGGGGTGTTGAAATCCATAGAAATAAATATCCAAGGAATGATGTTAATGAGAAACATTTGGTTTCAATATTCCTGGGGAGTTTGCATCCCCATTATTACAGCACTGACTGATCTACTACATGAGAAACAAAATGAGCAAAAGCGAAACTAACTACAGTGTTGCCTCTTTGCTTATTTATTTATTTTGGCATTTATATATCGCCCAATTAACTATGTCCTGTGGGCGGCTTACACATTAAAATCAATAAAATGCAAATATGAATCACAATAATAAAACAATCAATATAAAAAAAGCAGGTTCATTTCATTTTTTAAAAATGCAGGAGAGAAAGGGGAAGAAAACCAATGTAGGAAATAGTTCAGCTTGGAAATCCTTGTTTTTTGGAGCTCTTTCAACTTAATTTTCTTTGTGACGTTCTAAAGCATGGCTGGAGAAATTGTGTCCCAAAGACCTTTCAGGGAATTCGTCCAGTACACTGACTGCAGTTGGTTATTCCATCATCATGCAAGATCCAGGTGCCTTCCCCCCCCTTTTTCTTTTTGCACTGTTTTTGTAAAAATACAGTGTTTCTCTCTCTCCACCCCTTAGCTCAGCATTTGGTTGTCAGGAAAGTGAACCTCTCCTTGCTTTCCTTACAAATTAGG